CCTTTCCTTTCCTTTCCTTTCCTTTCCTTTCCTTTCCTTTCCTTTCCTTTCCCTCCCCTTTCCTTTCCTTTCCTTTCCTTTCCTTTCCTTTCCTTTCCTTTCCTTTCCTTTCCCTCCCCTCCCCTCCCATTCCTCTCTTCTCTCCCTTCCCTCTCTTCCCTTTCTTCCCTTCCCTTTCCTTCCCTCCCTTCCCCTCCTCTTCCTCTTCCCCTTCTTCTTCCCCTTCATCTTCACCTTAAACTCAGTTTTCTGCCTCAGCCTTTCAATAGCTGGGATTATAGGCACATGCTACCATGTCCACCTTTCTGTAGGTTTTTTTTTTTTTTAAAGATTGAACCAAGTGTGGAATTTCTTCAGGTACAGAACTTGGAAGATAGGCATGTCAGAAAAGGCAGGACTTTGGTTTGTTTGCTTCAGTCTGCAGCAGTGGTTCTCAACCTTCCTAATGCTGCAACCCTTTAATACAGTTCCTCATGTTGTGGTGACCCCCAACCATAAAATTATTTCATTGCTACTTCATAACTGTAATTTTGCTACTGTTAAGAATTGAAATGTAAATATTTGGCACGCGACCCCCCTCCCATATAAGGGTCATTTAAACCTCCAAGGGGTCATGATCCACAGGTTGAGAACCACTGATCTATACAGTCTTTTCTCCACATGGCATCAGTAGATGGTAGGAAGGAAGGTAGAAATTAGGGGTTAGGATCTCATTCAGGAAAATGCCTGCCACTCAAGCATGAGGACTTGAGTTGTAATTCCTAACATCCATGTAAAAGTCAGGTAAGCATCTGTGACCCCAGTGCTGGGAAGGTGGAGGCAGGCCAATCCCCATAGCTGGTAACCTGTTGGCGAGCTCCAGGTTTAGTGAGAGATTGTCTCAAAAAATGCTGTCGAAGTGATTAAGGAAGACACCTAATGACAGCCTCTGACTTCCATGCATTCCCACATGCACTCACATGTACACATAACAAGCCCAAAGGTAGGATAGATAAGAAGGTAGAACAGCACTGCATATAATGGGGAGGTACTTTGAGGAAAGGGTGACTGTTTTCTGGATGTTGATAATTAGGGCCTCTACAGCAGTGACTCATAGGTGGAGGACCAAAGGACTTCTGGACTAGGAATTAGCTGCAAGAATGTGGAATCCTAGTTTGGCTCAATACTTTCCCTTTTCTTCCTATTTCTGGTGACAGTTCTAAATTTGTAGATGTGTGAATGTCATGCTTGTACAGAAAGACACACAGAAAGATATACAGATCTTTCTGTATATGTTGAGGATGTTTTGAAATTCTCCTTTGGAGTTAGTTATGAATAGTGTAGTACAGAGTCTCTGTGTTTTACTTGGTCATTATTGATTTCAGTAAGAAACTCTTTATTAAGCATGTGTAGCTAAGGAGCCCAGCAGAAAGATGGTTAGGGATAAACTGAGCTCTTGAGCCTGCTGGAGGGGATTTCTGCCCAATTACTGTTACTCTTGTGGTAAGCAGTGTCCTAGGGACTGGTTTTATTATTCTCTTTTCAAGCAGAGAATAGCTTGTAAGGATTTTAAAAAAAAGTTTGACCCACGAGTTCAGCATTTTCCATTAGGGTCTCTCAACTGTAATAGTCATATTACTATGGTTGTACATTCATACATGGAAAATACTGGGTAAAGAGTGTCTTCAGGACTCTGGAACTTCCTGTTAGTCTCCTGTTGTGCTCCCAAGGGATCTTATGCCTTGCCAGCATAGAGTTGAAGGACAGTGGGTGTAAGAGTCTGAATTTCCCAGTGGATTCCCACGCCCGATCCAGGCTGCGCGCTTCCTGAACTCGGGCCCACGAGAAGGGACAAATGTCCTGAGGGTTGGAAAAGAAGACACAGACAAAAGAGACCTGGCTCATCTACAAGAGTAAATGGCAACTTTATTAAACTCAAGTCAGATATTTATATCAGTGGGCTAGAAGAATCGAAAATGCAAGTCCTTCTCCCATCCAGGAGCAGGAGGAAGATTAAAGCCTACTCGGCGCCTCGGGCAGGGTAATCTGAGGAGCCAGGCTATCGGCCGACTGCTAAGACCTTGAATACAAGTGGAATCACCATAACAAAGAGAACCAGGTTCTTGCTAAGTTATCCCCTCAAGCCAGAGCTGGTGCAGTCTCCAGGAAGTCGTAGGTCACACGGCCCTGCGAATCGCCAGGAGAGAAGGGAAGAAACTTTGTTAGCTACAAGTGGGAGAGGAAGACAGTGAGTTAGTGTGAGTAAACATGAGCTATATAACTGCAGCAATGGCATTGCAGGAGGAGCAGAGACCTTAGCTTGTCAGACTACACACTGCCATGGAGGGGAGTGGTTTGATAAGGCAGGAACTCTAGAGGAATGCCCACACTCGGGAGTATGTGTATGTGTTTTCTTTTTCCTTCCTTCCTTTCACCACGTCCCCTCTCATGTAGCCCTGGAGGAAGGTTTTTGCTGTATGACAATATTTAAGAGTTCATCTCAACATTTGATTTGGAGTCCTGGAGACCAAGGTTCTTATAAGGAACTAGTACTGAAGCTGGAAGCTGATTACAGGCGCCAGGGTCAGAACTCTAGTCTAGAAGGGAAGTACTCTGTGCCTGCAGGCTCTGAAACATCATTTTAATTCTCAGACTAGACTGTGGGGGAAAACATTTGTTGAATGAATTTAATTCCCAAAGAAAGATTCATGGTTAAGTGGTGTATAATAGGATTTCAGATTAGAAACACAATTATTCTTAGTTGTCAACTTTAATATTTTAAATTAATTTTAGCAAAACAAAAGCAAGAACCTATTATTGTTTGCTGGCTAAGAATAGATTATACTTAGTAAAGCTTTTAATAGATATTTTATTCTAAATTTTATTCAAAAGTTTTTGGCAGTAAAATGGAATTTTTATAAAAGTTTATTTTATGTATATGACTGTTTGCCTACATGTGTATATGTGTACCACATGTGTGCCTCTTACCTGCAGAGGCCGGAAGGTGGCTTTGGATTCCCTGGAACTGATGTTGCAGTTTATGAGCCACCATGTCCTTGCTGGGAACTGAATGTGAGCTCTCAGCAAGAGCAAGTGCTCTTAGTCACTGATCGCTCTCTTCAGGCCTTGAAATGAAATTATCCCATAGGTTGAGTTATCTTTAAGTATCATGCTTTTTCTAAATTTATTTACCTAGTGTATATGGCACTGTATCTGTGCAGGCCAGAAGAGGGCCTCAGATCCCATTATAGATGGCTGTGAGCCACCATTGGTTGCTGGGAATTGAACTCAGAACCTCTGGAAGAGCAGCTAGTGCTCGTAACTGCTGAGCAATCTCTCCAGTCCCAAAGTATCATGCTATTTCTAACACAGCTCTTGTAGTTACTGATATCTTCTTGTCCTGTATACAAATCTGCATTCTGAAGGTACTAGTTCATTTATCTGTTCTTTAGCAAGATCCCTTAGTATTTAATCACTCATTTCAAAAGAAGCTAATGAATGAACATGGACGTTCAAAAGGCTTTAAAGACCTCATATAGTCTCATTGATAAGATTCTTCAGAAACTCATACCTGTCCCCCACCAAGACCTCCTACCCACATTTTTTCATTTCCAGCCCTTGTCCTGGTTGTTGCTCCTGCTGCTCTAGTCCAGAACACTCTTTGTCTTTTGCAGCTGTTAGGGTTAAGAGTTAACATCACTGTTAACTCACTGATGGATTCCTATTGTGTACCAGATGTTTTGTCTTATTTTCCCCTAAAAGTTGCACATGTATTTCTTTAAAAATTTTCCTTAGAGTGGTGTATAATTCATGTACCTTCCCTCCTACTTTTGAGAAAGGGCCTCATGATGTAACCCTTGCCTTGACTAGAACTCTCAATTTAGACCAGACTGGTCTTAAACTCAGAGATCTACCTGCCTCTGTTTCCTGAGTGCTGGAATTAAAGGCATGGGGATATCATGGTGGACCTGATTTTTTTTTTTTTAAATAACTGAGAACTATCTTGGACAGGAACATCACTGTTTAGCAGGCCTTCATCCGTGTGTAGACCAGGCTGCCCCACCACAAGCTGTGGCTTCCCTTGTAAACTAAACCAGTTGTATCATCTTTCTTCTTTATCCTTAGCCCCATTGCCAGGTCAGCTTGCTACCAGCTAATTAGGGACTGTGCATTTTTTTTAAAAAAATGTATGGTTCCACATTTAGCATAAATAAGTCTCTGTACCTGTTTATTAGTCTCCTGAGTAAAGCTATTGTCTGTAGCTTTGGAAGACTCAAGATTTCTGATGTGGGACTTGAGAGAAGGTGCTGTTGTTCCATGGTGTGCTTCTACACAGAGTACATCCCCCTGTTTTTTGAAGGCCACCCCATTGTATTCCATTGTATTCTGCATCT